TGTACTTGCACCTGAATCTGGGTAATCTATTGCTCCCTTTTTTATTTTCAAAACTTGGCTTCTTGATATTTGGTCTCATTAACATACTGATATTGTCATTTAAAAAATCACCTTGGGTTTTCAGTCCCCTCAACAACAGGAACCACAAGAAGCTAAGAGCACAGCAAGTAGCAAAGTGAAACAGAGATACTGCTAGAGTTTCAGGATACTCCCTCCAGAAAAGTACAATGAATTTAACAAAGTCAGGGGAAAAAAACAGGTAAGTGAGGCTAGGTGTGCATATGCTTTAGATATGCTATGCATACATCTTAGATAGATATGAATGAACCTTAGAGGATTACTCCTCATTTCTAATTTAACAAGGTTGATTCTGTTGACAATCACCAACAGAATCATTATTATTGGTAGTGTTTTTAACACTAACCATTATTGTTAGCAATGTAGTTATATAAACCACTCCCAGCAATTCATTTTATAACCATTTTGGAAAGGACTATCAGTTCACTGGGTAGAAACATCCCACTACACATTGGAGACATACACATTAATATCACTAAAGAATTTCACAAGAAAAACTTTACAAACTAATGAGAAAAACTTTTTGTTTAATTTCAAATAATATATCTACTAAAATGTAATTATAAATTACTTTTTTATTATTTGGGTATAGTTTGAAAAAACTTAGTAATGTGTTTAGATATAAACAAATAGATTTATTCGAAACACTATCTGAAATATAAGTGGATAATGTAATTATTGCAGAATCATTATCTCAGCTTCTTAAAACAATTTATAATTGTTTGAGGAAAATAATTGATGTTTCAAATCATGCTAAATTCTGTCCAAAGACCATAATATAAATGTCCACTAAAAGTGTGTTAATGTATTGCACTAACATGACTTAGAACACAGGTCCACATCTGAAGTCATAGGACTAAAATTTACATCAATTTTACTATACAGTCATTCTTGTATTGTTACAAGAATAAACTTGGACAAGTTAGTGGACTGACTCCAAGTTCTTTAAGTACTCATCAGAAAACAACACCTCAAGATTCTTCCTAGAAAAGCTAGCACACACATGAGTCAAACTATAAATGTTGACTGATCACTTAAGATCTCCTTGTTTAAAAATAAAAAGGCAATGTCCAGATAACTAAGGTACCTTTTTGTTTTGAAAACTGTAGTCATTAAATGTATGATATATTTATGGATATAAATTTTCTGATGTGGTTAAGTAATGCATGGTTAAATAAATTTAAAATAACATCATTTAACTCATTTTCCAAATTAAAAAAAGGCAATCAGTGATATTAAAAGTATTCCTATGACAATTGCCTAAGGGAAACTATAAATAAGCCTACCTCATATTCACTGGAAACATAGTCTTATTTTGTAAGGTTTCACTTGAGACTCAAATAGGACATTAGAATAAGGATTACTAAAATGCAAAACTATCTTATAATTTTCTGAAGTTATAATTAATAAAAATCAACTTTTACAGGGAACAGTAATAGACTGTGTATGTGTGTCTATTCAACATTAAGTTCTGATGTTATACATGACAACTCTAAGCCCAGAGTATGAGGGCTACATCTCTTGTCATATTTATTGGCTGTGTTATACAGAATATCTTATCTAACCTGTCTGTGCATCAGTTTCAACTCTGTAAACTCAGGATCATTAGTGTATACTCTCCTAAAGCTCTTTATGGGTATTAAATGAGATAAGGCACCTCAGTGACTAAGCAGGGGCTGGCATCCTCTGTGGGCACATGATCATAATTAAACACTCCATGCTCAAAGGGAAGCATGGTGCCATGGCCATTCTTGGACAATTATAAAATTATACTTGGACTTGTAAAATTGCTTTTAATAGGTGAGAAGTCTGGGTCTTGTTTAAAATATAACAATTTACATCTACAGCTAAGTTTTATGGGGGGGGGGGGGGAACCC